AACAACACCTTATGAATAATCCTTCCCTCAACACTGATCAAAACAACAGCGATGAAATTTTGGCCATAATCACACAGTCCTGCTTATCGCTCTCGAATTTCATTTGGCATACACTCACTTACTCAATTTCCATCACAACCAGGATGTCCATCTCTTCCTTTTACACAGCCATGCTATAGGTGCTCCGTATTGAACTAGACTTCAGCACAGAGCACCTGCATAAGTCAGCAGGGAGTGGGTGAAAGGTGGACCCACTTGACAGGTCAGGTTACTCGTCTATTCCAGGTAAGGACAACCGCATGCTTCAGACATAACTACAGGACATTCCCACCTATTTATATATAGAGATAAAATTATATATCCCTTTTTTTTTATCTATAGATGCACCTTTAGTTTGCTTTTTGACGTCACCTGTTCTACATCTGCACAGAGACCGTGTCCATGTGTTTGTTCTAATGCTGATTTGCGTTATTTACAGTTAAGAAAAATATTTTAGAGCTTTTTTTACCAACATGGATGATGATACTGCATCTGTTGAGCATCTGTGTACAAAACCAGTCCCATAAAAAACAGTTCTCCCATTTTGGTGTCGAAGACCTTGACCAGTTTCCACCGAGTCCTGACCTCATCCCTGTCCAACTACTCTGGATAAACCAGTTTGCTTACTGTGAGCTGGGCCTTATCACACAACACAGGTGCTGAATCTCACTGCAGCCAGAAGCTGGTTGGATTTCTAAAACGAGATGAATTTAGATTTTTACAGCAGCATATTAATGTTCCTGGGTTGTCTTTTTTTTTTTTAAATCTCACATTAGTACCCACATACTATTGAATATGTAAGTCGACCGACATATCGAGTAGGTGACCATCGCCTCAGTGCTTTATGCTGATTATACTGGCAGCAGGCAAAGAGGAGGAGGAGAGCAATGGAAACAAAGAAGAGGAGAGGAGACTGAAGAGAGAAATCTGAGAGGAAACGAGCAGCGGAGACATGAAGACAAAAGAAAGAAGATGAAAGGAAACGAGTGAGAAAGAGGTAAGAGGAGAAGATCAATAGCAATGAATAAGAAGATGGTGCTGTGGTTGGATGAAGCCCAACACAACCGAAACAACACCATCCCCACAGTAAAGCATGGAGGTGGAAACATGTGTTGGAGCTGTTTTTCTTTACATTCACAACTTCGCCACATAGATGGACCAATGCATGGAGTCATGTACGGTAATCTTGGCTGAGAACCTCCTTTTTCAACCAGAATGACTTCCAGCATGACAATTATGCAAAACATACTGTCAAAGAGACGACGGAGTGAAAAGAAGGACGTTGAGGTCACCTTGGTGCCATAAAAAGAGTCATGTTACCAAACAGGGGAGAACTTAAAGGAGTTTCTGTAAAGAGGACTGGGCCAAAATCCCACCTGAGATCTACGCAAACCTGATGACCGTCTCAATGCTGTGCTTGACAACAACAGTTTCTCCACCGAGTACTCAGACATCTGAATCTGAAGACAAAACAGAGCTGCCTGATTCTGTAAGCCTGCTGCACTTACTGTTGGAGTCTCACTAATGATGAATTATGTAACAATAAAAGAACGGACTTTATTCTTCTCTCATTTGCTGTAACAGATTCAGGACTAACGTATCGCTTGGACACAACCAAATAATTAAATGCATTTGAGTGTGCTGTGGTGTTGTGTGTGTGTGTGTGTGTGTGTGTGTGTGTGTGTTGTGGTTTGTTGTGGTGTGTGTGTGTGTTGTGTGTGTCCTATATGCAGAACTTTCCATGAAAATTAAGTTGTTGTTGATTGTACTGCTCGAAGAGTCGCTTGTGAAGATGCCCACAGAATTCATACATACATGCTCATTAAATGGTCCAATCAGTTCCAATTCTCTGGAGGATGGTGAACACAAAGAAGAGGGGGCTCTGACTTGATTAGCAAGAGATATCAAAGAGAAGGAAAACTGGAAGACCAGAGAGGGAAACTGGGAAAAAGGGGAGATGACAGGAGAAGAGTATTGAAACAGAAGAAGGAAGAAAGGAGAACAGAGGGAGTGAAGATGATGAACACAGATGAGACGGGGGTGAGGAGAAGAGGGAAGAAGAGAGCTGAGAGGAGAAGAAGAATAAAAGAGGTGGTGTAGGAGGGGAAAGAAGGAGGAGGAGAGGAGGGAGAAAGAAGAGCAGAGGAATATAAAAGGGAAACGAGGAGACAAGAGCAAAAGAAAGAGATAGAGAGAGAGAAGATCAATCACAGTAATCAGCGTTCAGAGACTGTGCTGCGTCCAGATAAAGCCAGCGGGGACCTCTACTGGAAAACACCATCAATAACCTCAAAACTTCAGTGCCAGACACTGCAGAGATCCAGAGCGATAGAGTGATGCATGTGGCAGACTGAAAAGAGCATTTAGTACTTTGGAAGTTAAAAGGAACTGAGGTTGTTATTGTTATTATTATTATTATTATTATTATTATTATTATTATTATTATTAGGGATTTTGGAGGCATTTAATGTAGAGATGGGAATATCATGACAGGATCAGGGACACTGAGGTTTATGCTCTGCTCCTTAAATCCAAGGACACTGCACACCCAGTGTAAATGCAGTTTTACTATTCATGCCAGAAAAGGCTTAATAAAAACATCTATACATGGTAAACTGCACTGATAGCTAAAATCATGAGATGTACAGTTCTGCTCATCATGGGCACGAGTGTCATGGCTCCACACACACGCTCACTTAAACTTATTGTAAGTGGTGCTGAAGGCTACAAGGAACAGACTTTTCTCTTCCTTTCTAGTGGACAGAAGTGAAGTCCAAGGAACTCGGTGAAGATCTACTGAGGAGGAGATTTTCACCTGTTCTTTAAAATTTAAAAGGCTGTAGTGCATGTTTTGAAAGTGCTTCACCACAAAGATTTATACATGAGCACTATGAGATTTCATTTAGAAGATATGGAATCAAAAATGATCAGTGCTGCTGATGATGAAAAAACCTGAATATCAGCAAATGTGCAAATATGAATGTCAACAAGTGACAAATTAAATGTAGCAACAGTAAAATAAGCTAAACTAAAAATGATGCCATAAAATATCAATAGGACCATATGTGACACTCATAAAACTAAATATTTGACCTACTTTCATGAATATTTTAGGACGAGATCAATTTTTGATCTGTTTTTCTTTAGTCTGAACTAAAAATATGCATTTTCTCAGAGTGAACCACATCCAGACTAGAGGGAACATCAGTACCAGTGACTGATGGGCCCTGATTGGCTGTCACTGACAAACAAACTGCTGCAATCCTTCCAGTCAGTCCAGGCTGGAGCGTTCGAACCAGAAAGGACCTCGTTTAAATAAAGCTGGCAGACAAACTGCTTTCATGTCCAAACGCAGGATGGGTCCATTATGGGGAATATCAGCAGCATCTGAGAGGCTTGTAATTTGAATGCAGCGCTACAAATAATGAGATAATGTAAATAATGAAGCCGGTGAGGAAACGAGAGGCAATCCTGCCTTTTTACAAACTCTCACACTAAATGAAAACACAAGCAGAGAAACAACATGTGTGTAAACAACATTAAGCAATCAGCACTTCTGGACTGGACCATATATCTCCCGCTGATGCACCGACGCGTTCGTTGCTTTGATTTCTTTAAAATCCTGTCATGTTCAAGTGAAATTGTTCCGCCCCACAACATGTCAGCGACGACACAAAAACCGATGTCTATCAGAATTCGGTGGTACGCGATCATCCGCGGCCCATCGCTTCAGAAAGCTTTGATCAGCTGCTGATTTGGTGCCGAGGAGCAGCGACGGCAGAAACCTGAGTGACGACACTCCACGGAGAGCGCGACAACGCGGCGGCAAAAATGCTCCGCCTCTTCCATCTGCATTGAAACCTCTCATTAAAGGAACACTTCACCTTTCTGCCAGGCAATAATGGCACATGTGCCAATCTCTCACAACGCAAGCGAGGTGTATCTGTGACATCTGTGAGGACGTGATGAGCGAACACGGCATCTAATCTGCCTCCAGAGACTAACGACAGTCTGAGCTAACTGCCTAACGCACACGGAGGGCAGAGAAATCCCTGCTAGGGATCATACGTGAATGGCTGTAATAATGCCCACGGAGGCACGATTAGCATCCTGTGTGTGGACAACAGTGTGAATTCACACCGGAGGCAACAGATGCACTTGGCATCCCAACAGCTGCTTGCGGGCTCCATTTCTTTCTGATTCAGACAATATAACACTGATCCACAGCAGAGAACCCACAGGAGTGGGCTGCTGTGACACCAGTGACTCACTTATTCATATCAAGACCAGTTCCATACAATATGTGATAGGAAGTGTAGATTAGAGGGTACTGTAACCTCAGCCCAGAGCAACAGAGAGACAACACCAGCTCTCAAACAACAAAGCTGAAAGGTGTGGATAACTAGAAATGCACTTTGAATGAGTCTCATTTACACCTTGAAACGAAGATACAGTTAACGACTGCTTTGGGAGACAATGAGACTTAATAGTGTTTATTATTTGGAGGTTTCTTCCTTCCTAGTTTAAACATGGCTGACTCAAGGGAAGAAACACGTCAATGATCACAGAGATCACAGAAAAAAACACTAAAATAAAGTAAAAAAGGAATCTGACTCTATCCAGCTTTAGGGTCCCAGGATGCTGAAGCCCAGCTCAGCTGACACAGTCCAACTTTTTGCTGTCAGACGCCAGTCGCTGATCCACTGTGCTGCTCCTAGCCGGAGCACCTGGAGGAAACCCACAAAGGTAAGGTAAACTCCAGAGGAAGGCCCCAGCAGAGGTTTGGACCAGCAGAGCAAGAAGCGAGCCGGGTTCCCACTGCACCACCGAGCTGCCCAGTGGCATCCCTAATGCATGCTGTGCTTACATAAAATCCCTGTTCTGTTACATTCAAAACACAAGTCAGGTTTAATACACAACAGTTTTCAAACTAGGAACAAAATGAAGTTGTAGTGACTCACTATGTTCATCAGTGTGAGGAGGTAATTCTGCACATGCTCCTTGCCGTGAAATCGGACCACTGAGTCATCGACTCCCAGCAGGATTTCGATGTTGTAGTCGTCCTCTCCAGCGTCCCTCCGTCTGCGGCGCCGGACCGTCTCATTCACCTGTCGGGTTACTGAGTCGAGGCTCCCGGGAACATCGAGCTCCGGTTCTGTAAGATTAAGACGGGAGAGATACGACTTTTAATATTTTTTCCATTTCCAGCTGTGAAAGCCGCTGCAGGGCGTTCATTTTAAAATGCTAACTGGGTAAAGGCGCTCACTGATCTGCTATTACATAACAATTACATTGTGTTAGACGAGCATTCGATCAACATTAACGAGCGAGTCGTGCAGCTGCAGGTCTGCAGGTTCTGTCTGCATATGAATGTGTCAGCAGAGGCCAAAGCTTGTTCTGAAGTCGAGTGCCTGCTGGCCTGAATTAGACAGGTTTCATATTTGATGGTTGGAAAAGGGTTTATCCAGTCGGAGCTTTATGTTGTTTTTTCTGATTAATGATTAGCTAATGAGCAGTATGAGGCGATGGCGCAGCGACGTACGGAGAAAGCCAAGCAGGTGTTTTCGAAAGGAGACATTTTCCAGCCGGGTGCGCAGCCACAGCTGGATTTCATAACACTTCAATTCAAGTGCTGAAAAGGCAAATAGCATGTTTATAATTTCCTGTTTTAATCATTTACTGGAGCAAAAGTACATTTTCTGGTTCCAACTTTAAATGAGTGGATTTGTGTGACCTTCTGTTTCAGATCATTTTCATTCCAGCATCTTTGGACTTTTGGTCAAACAAATCAAGCACTATGGGGATAACACAGCAGTGCTCCTTATTTACCTGAAAAATGTTGATTTAGCAAAACAAAAAGAAAAAACAAGGCGAGAGATAGAAAACTACTTTTGTTTTAGTCAAAATGCCAGAAACCCCCTCGTGTATTAGACGACCTTTGTGTTATTCACCCTGTTTGTTCAGTGCTGACTGTGTTATGGAGCTTTGACAGGTAAACTGATGCTAAAAGCAACTGTTAAAGCTTCAACTCTGTGGAAGGATAGAAAGGTCTGTGACAGCAGCTCAGTTCATTCAGTCCACAATTCACTTCAATCCAACAAAGGCTGATGGGGTTCACTGCCTTTAATTAGTACACGGGATAAAAGAACTTGTAGTTTTTGAGGCATTTTTACAACCCACAGACTTTCCTCTGTTGTTACATAACTTTCAAATCAGATTTGACTTCAAACCGAGTTTCTGCTTCCCTCGATATGAAAATTAGGTGAACTGTCTGACTTGACAGATTTCAGGCTCCTCTCCTCAAACTAGCTGAATGTGCTAATACTTCCCACTTTGATGGAATGGACCACCAGTACTTAAAGCTCCCATAATACTGCTTATACTACTCACACTCTGGAGGCTAAGGGTATCTCTGTGAAACCGCAGGCAGCAGTGCAGATATCGGGGCCTCGAGGACTACAGAGGGGGTATCGAGCGGCTGCTCTTCACTCCACAGTTTGCTGCTTTATAGTTAAAAGTGTTGCAAATTTAATTATCATCTTATAATAAAAGGAAAAAGTCTTTCTTGTTTTCGAGCAGACTGACTGGTTATAATGGCCGGAGGGGCAGAGCTGCAGGTTGAATGACTCATCGGGATGTCTCCGAGCGAGACTGTTTTCCTCTAGTGGAGCTGGTGGTTACCAGTAAGGCGGTGATTATGCTTCCAGTGTTTTATTTGGTTTAACCACAGTGGACTACATCCTGTTAGCTCTGTACTGACGTGTGCAGTTCGTTTCAGATATAATCAAAAATAAGAATGAACGGGGTGCGCCTCTTCGTCAAGGCAGAGAAAACTGTTTTAACGGTCATCATCACCTCTCGCTGAATTGCACTATTTGTTATAACATGTTATATGATAATTATAATACATGTTACCATGATAACATTGCAGCTTTTGATAACTCACCAACAGTGACTCTCTCAGTAAGAGGAATTTGTTTTTAGATTTTCTTTGTAATGGTGTAAAAAAATGAAAACTCCCATTTACAAAAAGTATTTAGAGTCATTGCTGATTTCTTTGTAGAAGACTCTGGCTACTCTAAAGCGCATTTATACAGTGGTGTCAACGCAACAACCGGCGGCAACTTGAAAACCTGGCAAATATTGTGTAGATGTACAACCAAAACAGCTCTGACGCACCGAGGCATGGACACGGCTCGTCTAGGGGCTGCTCTCTGGCTTCTGGCAAAGCACAGTTGGGTCCACTAATACAAGGTGTCTCCTCCGTGAGGAGAATCGGATGGAGGTGGGGGGGCTCCTCAAAACTTTCTAGGGCATTTGTTGCAACTTGGAGGGCAGGCTGACCTGCTGGAGGAGGCTGCTGACATGTGAGAGTTTCAAACCGGGGGGGGTGTCTGCTCTGAAACAACGTTCAAGTGGCCGTGTGTGTTAAATTACATCCACGTTAAAGCCAGGAGGAAAGGTTTCTCAGCACTGAGTGAGATTACTGATGGTTATTCACTTCACATGTGAGGTTTTGAGGTTGAGCCTGACAGGTGTATGTAATCCAACAGTTATAAAGGCTTCAAAGCCATTTAAAGATTATCAAAGAAAAATGTCAAAAGGAGGGAAAAAATGTTTAATCTTTCTCACATTCTGCAACCCAGTCCAACTGAATTTTGCTCAGACCTTTCAGGGTGTTGCACACTCACAAGGTGATTGCACAGGTTGCCTAGTTTCCTATCAGGAGGCAAGCTTTCTGCAAACAGCTGCAGTCTGACTACAACCACTCTCAGACAGAAAGTCAGTCATTTCTATCTCCACTCCACTCAGCCGGCTGCCAGCTGCTTGTATTCTGGTTATATTCACATAGAACAGGAAGGTTGTGAGTGCAGATGTAATATGTGTAAAATTTCTGTCTATGCAGACAGCAACAAATACACAATTTTCAACTACTTATTACAGTTAATTGCTGTATTATCATAAACAGCATGCATGTAATGACAAAGCTGAACTTTGAGGACCATATTTGTGGTATATGTTAATGCAATATGCAGTATACTGAAAAATGTACTATGGTATCATCAGTGAAAGATTGTGGTAATATCATATTGTGGGGTGTTTGGTGATCCCGCCTCTATCAGTTAACCCAGCATGCATGTCTTTGGGTGGAAGCTGAAGACCTGGAGAGAACCCACAGACACGGGGAGAACATGCAAGCTCCACACAGAAAGGCTTTAGCCGGCCGTGTGTTCGAACCTCCTCGCCGTGCAGCATGTGATGATGTATTTGGTTCGTTTCACAGCTCAGTGCAACAGGAGAACACTATTTCAAACCAAACTGAGTGAGAGCGTGAGGCACGCCTTGGCTTCTTCTGCAATTTGTACAAGGCCAATGAATCCTCAGAGCGAAAAAATAAACTGAAAGCAAGAAAGGTCATTGTCCATTCAGCAATAAATACAAATGTCTGTCAGCAAGACAGCACAGGCCTGGAGCTAAAAATTGGGTTCACGTTGGTTCATGCAGCCCATTTACAAACAAACCAGAGTAGGCAAACAAAGGTGCCACAGACTCACAAGAAGCTCGTATCCTGAAGACGTTTCGGTAAGCTCTCATCAGGCCGTGTTAGAAAGTTTGGCAGCGAGGTGAGTCAAAACAAGTCGTGCTGTAGAAACCTGTGACTTCGGCTAAAACTGATGGCGCTGGAAATAACCTCGTCACACATATACAGCAATCCTGTGCAGCACGGATGAATGGCAGAGCAGCGTTCCAGAAGATGAAGACATTTTCAGACAGAGCGGACCCTTCACCTGGCCAAAGACATGGAATATAAAGAGCAACTCCTGCAAACCACCAAGAACATATTAAGAAAAGCTGAACTGCGTCTGAAGGACAGCAGGGCCGAGCACGCCTGCTAGCTGAATTTTCCCTGAATAAACGAATGACTGAAGTAAAGTAGTTCACAGTTTTAGATTTCATCCACACTGGGTGAAGATACTCTGCTGGCAAATACGGGTAAATCTGAAGCCATAAATAAAAGCACAGGCCATTTTTCATTTTTCCAGGGATGCTGTGGACCACAGACAGGGCCGGTGATTGAGTGGAGAGGGAGCTAAAATAAATAGGAAGAGATGGCTGCCACCTCAGCCGTGGCCCGGCTTCTACAGTGTTGGGATTGTGGAGCGCATTCCTCCTCTCCGCCGCTCCCGTCATGACACAGGCATTCTTGTGCAGCAGGCCAGCTCCCCCCCTCCCCTGCCTGAGTAAACAGGCTCTCTGAGGTCCCTACTTCAAACGCACAGGACTTCCCCTCAGCAGCGCTCCTTAAGACTGCCAGTGTGCTTGAGTCAGTGGCGAGCACCCCACCGCCCTCCTCTGCCTCGCCCCACCACGGGCCACAGCCCAGTCCCGTGGGAGCCCCACCATGCAACAGCAGCAGCCCAGGAGACGGGGGCCCTGGGTCAGCGTCTGCCCACACATGGCAATGTGCGGCAAGGTGGCAATGAGGCCGGCCAGAGCCGCCGCAGGCTAAAAATGGCACAGACGCAGGCGACAGGCATCGCGCCATCAGCTGAAAGTGGAAATCTACTGTCTGCTGTGACAGAATTAATATCCACGTTGTACGCTTCAAGGACACTCACACGAAACCCATTAGTAAGATGGACACTGATACGCAGCCAATAATGACACTTTGTGTAAAATCCTTTTTTTATACATTCAAATACGCACGCAAAAAGCTTTTCCCTTTTCAGTGCAGATGTATGCACGTCTCCACGGAAACGTTACTACAGGAAAAGTATGCAATGCCCTCATTTAGAGGAAAATATCCACGAGCTCCGAGGTTTTACAGCAACAATAGGCAGGAATGTGAATTAAAATATGGCTCGTAATCCTTTTATCTGTTTCTGCAGCAGAGACGGGGGATTGGGCAGGATGTACTCCACCAGGTGTGCAAAACGGTACAGAAACTCTTATCGAGATCGGGGCAGGAATTTGCATAAGTTCAAAGTGATTTGTCTCGTGAGCCAAAACTAGACGTGAAATACGGCGGGACAAACAGATCAGGAACAAGTACGGGAGTTTGGTTTTCTACATTTTCTTTGGAAGTGCAGCTGGAAATGAAGTCACTAGATTCTGAGTGGGAATGAGTGGAATTTCAGTGATTGGAAAAGAAGG